GGAGGGTAGAACGTAGGATGGCCAGACGATAGAAGGTGTGACTACTTGTGAAGAATACACAGTCTCAGGCAGCTTTAGCTTCAGAATGGCGCCTTTAGACCCTTTAAGTCCTACTCAACACACCCGGGTGTGAGCATGCTTTCTGGCACACGTGCTTGTAAATTAGTCTCAGCCTGAGTCATCTCAGCAGTCTCCACCCTGCCCGTGAGCCACAGGGAGCCTGGGGTCTGAACCTCCGGAGTCCTTTCTGCTGAATCCCTTGACCAGGAGGCCCATCAGGGTGCCCCATGTTGTGCATATCTGAAAGGGAGAGCACGGATGATCTAAATCTTACACCGAACATGGAAGCACTCGTTGAACTGGGAAGCAGAAGAGGAGAGTGTGCAAAGAGCACAGAATCGGGACACCAATTCACGGACACTACCCCGTTGTGTGACCTTGGGCTAACCATGTCACTTTTGTTTTGTTTCTAAAACTCATTTAACAAAGATTGAGAGGAGCATCGTGGCAGCGAAGCGGGCACCTCAGTCAGAAACCATCTAAACGGGTGCCCTCGGGAAGGAAACACACCGGAAACCGGGGAAGACATCCATGGAGGACCAGGTGGGGAGAGCCTGTGACTTTGAGAAAGAAGATAGAAAAGACCTGAATGTCTCCAAGGAGGATGTTATGGAACCAGTCATTGATAGGCTTGGGAAGAAGAGTACTTCTGCAGAAATAGTTGAAGATATGGGGGATGGAGTCCAGAATACCCTGGGAAAATGTGGAGCAGACATGAAAACACTCTTTTTGCAAAGAGAAGATGACGAGCAATGCATACCAAGGCTTCTCTCAAAACCAATAAACATATTGGGAAAACCCAACAAGATCAAAGGCAGATGCTTAGCTGACAATATTCTCATCAGAAAGCCGAGGAACAAGAAGAAAACTAGCTAATTGGTTTCGATGGCAACAGAAGGTTTTCCAACAATCTAGAGTTGTTCAGAGCCAGAAGCCGAAAACAAATAGCTATATGAGCAGTTCACAGAGTATGGGGGACTTGGAGAAGAGTCATGATACTCCACCTACTGGTGCACAAAATGAACGTAAAAAAAGAAATGACTATGTTGAAAAAAACAAATCATGATGGACACCCAGGAGCAGGGGGTGGCAAATGTTCAAAAGTCTCGTCAATCCGTGTTATTCTGATGACTCTGAAGAATTTGAACCTAAGTAATATGACACGATTATAACATTAGCTAAGAGGCCTGTAAGCCTTAGGGTGGTTTAAAAATTCTACAATCGTTTAAAATATTGTACCATGCTAATCATTAGCTTGAGAGGCACAGTCTCCCTGCCTCTTTCTGTTAACCTTCAAATGAAATCTAAACAGTTCTGTGAGTAGCAGCAATTCCTAAATTGTATGCTCCTACGTTATAGAGCAGAATAGGTAGTGGTGAATAGCAGGGGTACTGAAGTCAGGCCACCTGAGTTCAAGTCCTGGTTTTTATTACCTTGGAATAAATATTTAGCTGCCCTATGCCTGAGATTCCTCTTCTGCAAAGAGGGGATGATTAATAATAATAATAATAATAATAATAATAATAAATTTCTGTTTAAAGTTGCTGTGAGGATCCAATGAATTTAAACATATAGGAGCACCTGGGACATGATTCCCAATCAATGGATATTATCTGTAACTACTAAAGTGTTTCTTTGAAAATTAAAGTGAGATAACGTTTGCAAAAGCCCAATATAGGCCTTGCCCACAGTAAGTGAAAGCTGTTATTGGTGGGAAGGTGAACCCTTTGGTTATTTCCTTGACTTACCATGCTCAGACTTGGGGAGGTTGGGAGCAAGCTATCCCAATTCCCTCTTTCATTGTCCTTCGAACGAGTATCTCATCTCATTTGTTGGAGTTTGCCAGTCACTGTGCTGCCGGGTCCTAGTGGCAGGGAGACTGAGCCTCTCAAACAGAAACAGGCTTAGTCCGTGTCCCCTCCCTGCACGCACCCACTTCCTGTTCCTGTGGGAAGCCCATGGCAGAGGAGTCCTCCTCCACAGGAGGCAGACCTCTTTCTCCCCCTCTGTCCCAGCCTCTCCTCTGACTAGGGGGGGGTACATTCCATCCCTTCTTCGACCATTACTGGTTTGTCGATGCTCTATCTCAGTGTCCTCATCTGTGAAAAAGAATAACAGTACCACGTCGTGGGTTTATTGGAAGAATTAAATAAGGTCATACATATGAGATAGTGCTTGGCACCTAGTGAGTGGTCAACAGAGGTTAGTGGATTCTAGTTGTTATGTATAACCCGAGGTCCAGCTAAAAGGCTCCCTCCTCCAGGAAGCCTTCCTGAGCTCCTCCAGATGGATTTTTGCTTCTTCTTTCCCTGAGTTTCCTTATCACCTTTTCTTTAGTGTTTTGATATCATGTTTCTCTCCTAATTGAATTAGAATAGTTGAGAAATGAGTCTTCTCCTTCCTCGTAAGCTCAGAGATGAATTTTTGTGCTGGATCAGTCCTCATGCCTCATAGGTCCACCCCAGAGCAGGCACTTAAGCAGTGTTCGGGGCAAATATCTGTACAATCATTTGCAGCAATAATATGTTATAAATATGTACCTTAGTGAAGACCTACTAGGGGCTAGTCTGAGTTCTAGGGCCTAAAATGAATGCACTCCTTCCACAGTAACAGCCCCTCCTTCGCCCCACACCACCCTTTAGGCTGCCCCTTTGTGATTACTTTCTCTCTTTCAGGCTACTCAGAAATGCCTTCATTTCTTTCAGTGTGACCTCACTGTGGTAAGCTCTTGGGGGTGGGTGCAGGCCTGGCCTCAATTGGGGCAGGAGAAAGAGTGCAAGTTGTCTTAGCATTGTGTAGCTCTGGGCCCTCAGCCCTCTGACCTCACCTTCCTGCTCTGCACAACGCGTGTCTCCACGCTTCCCTCTCCGTGTTTTCGGGATTAAACAGGATCACGTGTGTCAAAGTGCCTGGGAGACAGGAGGCCCTTCCCAAACCTAATTACTGTTTTCTGCTGTGTCTGGGCACAGCTCCGTGTCCCTGAAATGCGCTGTGCATGTCACAGGTGTCCTACAGGAGGCTCCCTGCTGGAAACGCTGCTTGGGCTTCTGTTCTTGTCTTTCGCGAGGAAGTTGCCGGTTACACCAGGGGACAGGCGCCAAGGCCAGCCGCCCTGCCGAGAGCAAGTGTGGAGCCAGAAGCCCTCGTGCTCTTGAGAGAGGCTATTTTATAATTTTCTTTTTTTTAATCAGGAAGGGAGAGGGAGAGAGAGATAGAACACCAATGGTGAGAGTCATTGATTGGCTGCTTCCTGCATGCCCCCAATTGGGGAGCGAGCCTGCAACCTGGACATAGATTGGAATAGAACCCGGGACATTGCAATCTGCAAGCTGTGGCTCTATCCACTGAGCCAAACCAGCTAGGGTGAGAGAAGGATAGTTTAAAAACTGTTCTCTTTCTGAATGTTTAAAAGAGAGAAGGTGCTCCCCGCAGTGCTCATGGGGCAGGAAAGAGAGGATCTGTGAGGTTGGAAAGGAGAATCCTCCCTGATGTAGTGCTCCCGCAGTCACTTAAGCCCTGGGAGATACTGAGCATGAGAAATGAGTCAGGAAAATTGTACTTTAAGAACTCGACAGGGGGCCTAGATGTGGGTGAGGGACTTAGTTTGGGCATTTGTATGTATCGGAGCAGTTGTGCAGTCATGTGTTTGTTTATTTACTTGTTTTAAATTTTGTTATAAGAACTTTATTGTTTCCATTGGTCTAATGCATGGGAGAGGGCTCCAGGGTGGTTAGAGGGATGGCTAGGGCTTCAGGGAGAGGCTCAGGCAGAGCAGACACCCTAGGATGCAGGGGGCCCTCCAAGGCCTCTGGGCTCCAACAGCTCCTGTCGTGCTGGAGAGTGAGCCTTCGGAGGAGCTGCTCGCCCAGCCTGGCCTGGGGCCGCAGCCTGTGGAGGGGAGCAGGTGTCGCCCCTCTTCTTGATGAGTTTCACCCCTCACCCGGAAGTGGCTCTGCAGGAAGTCCCAGGCTGAGGGACTGCGGGGAGAGCCAGGCCTGCAGCTCCATGGGGCCTGGGCCAGGGCCCCCTCCGAGGCCACGGCGGCTCCCATGGTGCCCTGAGTGCCGCCCCTCCCCGTGGGGAGCCTTGGGGGTCCTGGGGAGAAGGCGCCTCCCGCTGGTTTGGTCTCAGAGCCATGGCGCCTCCTGCTCCTGAGCAGCTCCTGGGAGAACCGCCCTCCAGGCCACACGGTCCCTGTGGAAACAGAGGCCAGAGAGGTAGGTGCGAGCCGCAGAGGCGGGTGGCCAGGTGGTAGGCGGCAGCCCCAGCCTCGGGGGAATGATTCTGACGAATTTGGGGCTCCTGGTTGTTGGCAGTAAGGAGCTAAGGTCAAAAACACAAAATGGCTCTGGCTGGTCTGGGCGGTGAGGTGGTGAGGCGGTGCTGTGGGGGAAGGGGAGCTGGGGGAGACTTGAGGGCGGTCGGAGGCCAGAGGAAGGTGAGTCCTGGGGTCTGTTCCATCCAAAAGACTGAGCCAGGACCACCGAGGGCACTGCTGCCATGAATTTTTAAAATTTTTAATTTTTATTGAGTTTATTGGGGTGACATTGGTAAAAAAAAAAAATCATACAGGTATCAGGTGTGCGGTTCTATGACACATCATCTGTGTGCTGTATTGTGTTCCCCACCCAAGTCAGGTCTCCTCATTCACATTGTCCCCTTTATCCCTCCCACCTCCCCCCTCCTTTCCCTCTGTAGTCACCGTGCCGTGGTCTGTGTCTATGAATGTGTGTTTTTCCCATGCTTAATCCCTTCACCTTTCTCACCAGCGGCCCCCCACCCCCCAATAGCTGTCAGCACGTGGGCATGAGTTCCCACCGTGGCACAGAGAGGGAGTGAGGTTTCGTGGCAGACGGGGCTAGGGCAGCTGTGTGCGGGACAGGCTCCGGTCCTCTGAGAGCCCATTTTGTCTGTCCTCGGCCTGTCCCCGGAGCTTTGGGACAAATGCTGGGAAGGGATGAAACCTCCAGAGAGAGGCTGGGCTTTCTGCTGACCACGGAGCTGTGTGCTGGAGAGACCCGCTAAGGACAAAGCAAATGGAATGTGACCATATCTGGGCTCTGAGCGGAGGGAGCAGCTCATCCCAGTTGTACTGATTACCCAGAGGGCATTGTGCAATGCGGAGCGAGATTGGGTCTTAATTAACGTCTGTTGTGAGGGCTCCAGGATGAATAGCTCTGCTGAGGGCAGGCCATAGTCTGCTTCCTGGGCTGGGAGGTGAAGGAAAAGGTACGTTTGGGACTCGGTCAGTGGCTGGTCAGCCTGGATCACAAAGCCTGTCCCAGGCAGTATTGGGAGAACAGGTGACAACCGGTTACTTCTGGGCCATGGAAGGCTCCGGGGGCCTCTCGAGAGGTCTGGTAGTTCCTGGCACATGGGGAGGAGCCAGCCTGCCTGGCTGTGACTGTGAGGAGCCACATCTCCCCAGGGCGGGCACAACCTCCAAGATGGTGTGCACCTTGGCCCTCCAATTCCTTATCCACAGTCCGTTCTCGAAAAAAACAGCCAACACGGCAGCTCCCAGTGGCCAGGATTGCAACACCGAATGTGTTTGTTCCCCGTGTTTGTGAAATACCTCAGAGGCACCGTTCCAGTCCCACCTGACTAGTTTTCTGATTGCCACACAGCCTGGCTCCATCTGCCAATACTCCGCCGGGGCTGGCTGGTCAGAGATCTGGAGATGTTTGAGGATTCAGGATTTCAGAGACCTCATTTCTGTCTTCCTGGGTGAGGAGGTTCTTACCTTCCCGAAGCTTCTGACTGTCACCTGTCGAACTTGGAGGCAACTCTGGTGTCCTGGAGCAAGTTGTGTGACCTTGGGCCAGTCATTTGACCTCTCCGAGCTCTTAATTCCTTCAACTGCAGAGCAAGTATAACCATTCCTGTCAGGCACACCAGCCAGGAGGCCAGGGGACCAGCTCCCTCACTAGGCTTCCTGCCCCAAAGGTTACTAACAGCAAAGTTGACCTCAGATTTCTGAGTGATTAAAATTCAATCTGCACTCAAGTCTTGCAAATGAATTACCATCAGTCTTTGACTGAGTGCAGGAAGAAGAGGCCTGGCTAATCTATAACGTAATGGAGACTGAGAAGCCCCTGGAAATTGGCTCAAGAATATGGTCTGTAGCTCTTACTCAGCCAAAAGAAGGGGCTGTGAGAGGCATGTGACCTTATACATCATGTCCTTCATTGATCTCCTTCAAGGAAGGGGGAAACCTGGAACTGAGGAGAAGAGTTAATAGTTAGTGGGCTTCTATTAACTGCCAAGTACTGGATAGCTATTGTTGTGTTGGCTGTTGTCATTTTTTTTTTTTTAAATTGAACTATCTAAGGAAAAAGAGCTTAGTGTCCCTGACTAAATAGGTATTGCATGTTTGAAAGATTTTTGCAGCACACCGGTTGAAACCTGCTGCTCAAGGAGCTAGGACACAGGAGATAACTGAGACCCAGCATGGTGACATGACTTGCTCAAGGTCATACAGCTGGTAGGTGGCCGATCAAGATAAGATCTCACCTTTTTCTGAGGCTGATTTCAGGGTTGTTTTCTTTCTGGGATGTTGCACAGTCACACAAATATGCACATGTCTGTACATACACATAAATGCATCCACACTCACATGCACATACCCGTATGCCCACTCACATCATGAAATGCACAGATTCTCACACTTGCACTCATGCTCTCTCTCTCACACACACACACACACACACAGCATTCAAGCACACAAACATATTATAGATATGTATATACTTGCACATGGATTAGCACACAGCATTCCATTCATTGGGAAGATTTTTTTTTTTTAAACTGTTGGAATCTCTGAATATCTCAGCTCAGAAATGTTACAGATACAATCTCAAAGATTTCATTCTTTTTGTTTTCTTTTCCCCCCTCTCTCCTTCCCTGTGCTCTCTACCTTTTCCTCTTCTACATTCCGGGAGTAGACTTCTCTTCTTGCTTTCTCCAGACACAAAATCTTAGGGAATTATTAAGATCACTGGGCTCAGGTGGGGAGACTCAACGAGAAAGCAAAGCCTCTCTGTAAAGTACCAAAGGTACCAAAGGCTGTTCAGACTTTGCTAAGATCTCTCAAACAAGGAGCCGCTGGCACCAGCATGCCCTGAACTTATCAATTCCCTTTCCACCCAGTCCTCTGTCTTCCTGCCAGGGAAGGGGGGGGGGGGGCGGCATGTTCAAGTTCACGCGAATCCTTGCAGCTGTGTCCCCAGCCCCAGTTCCTACCTCTCCTGCTCTCTCCTGTAGGTGCCAAGTGCCTGGGAAGGCCTCTTCCAAGTGTTTCATCACGCCTTGGGGTGGGGGTGCCTGGACTTCTGTTTCAACACTTTGCTTCCACCTGGCATCTCATTTGCCAGCTAATAGGTGAAGTAACTCCTCCCAGTGACTGGTGTCCAAGGCAAGAAGCTGTGTTCTAGGCTGTACGGGGTGGGTGGAGGCTTCATCTCAAGCCTGACTTGTCCTTTAGAGATCCCCTGGAAGCAGGCTGGGGTACCGAGTTTAGCTCGGCTCATCCTTGTAGGAAATTCATCCTTGTAGGAAACTCCTCAGAACATTTCATCATCCAGGCAGCTGAACATGGGGTGGTAGAATTGGATTAACTTTGGCAACTCTCATGTCCCAATCCCTGAAAAGTGCCAAGAGAGTCACCTTACCCAACTCAACTATTTTCCTGTGGTAACAGGGATCTCTCTTCAGATACCAAAACACCTTTGCCTTGAAAGGACCTCGGAAGCGTGCTTAGGGATTCACTTGGACTTTTGGAGTCCAGGTTCAAGCATTGATGCTCTCCATGGCCATTAGGCTGTGTTGCCAAATTGGGATGAGTTTGTTGGAGGTGGGCTGTTGAGTTCAAGCACGCATGAGTGACTCAGAAATAACAGCTGTCCTAGGGGGCGGCAGAGTGTGCAGATAGCCCAGGAGTGGTTTTAGCAGCATGTGCTTTTTCTGGGGCAAACTTGCTGTCTCAACGCCCCTGGCAACCCCCCCCCCCCAACACACACACACACACACACACACGCACACGCACACGCACACACACGCACACCAGAGAAGTTTAAATGGGAAGGTGGAAATAGGAGATGCAGTACAAATGCTGGAAGAGAACACTGCCCAGAGGGAAAGGGAGCTGAGCACCCAGGTGCCTCATGGGTGTGGGGCCAGACTGGGATTGCTCAGTGATAAAGACATGGAATTCCGAAGGTGGGGTTCTCTTGGGCACTTAGCTGATAGTTTTACATGGTGATTGCCAATGATCAATGTCTTCTCTTGTAACAGGGCTGAAAAATAGCACTCAGGGCCCAGGGCTCAAGCACAGTTCCCCTCTCTGGTATCACCTCTCAGACCCTTAGGGGTAGCGAGTGCTCCACCCGTGTAGGAAAGGGAGGGAAAGGGCTACCTGTATATGATGCTGTGTCATGTTCAAAACCCTTTGCAGTGACTCAGCCCCTTTTGGTGGCTGAGCTCCCTTTCAGGCATGTGACCCCTCACCTTCCTTATCTAGGAGCCCAGTTTTGTGTCTAACAGAGTCAGGCCTGGATGAGCTGTCTTCTAGCAGGAGAGGCAAAATTTACACACACAGGGAGTCACCACAAACCAGTGTGTTGACTGAAGCGTCACGATGTTCAGACAACACAGCCCAAGGTGGCCATTGAGAGGATCGTCCCCTTCTGCTAATGCAGTGTTTCCCAAAGTGTGGTAGGCTTACCCCCAGGGGTACGGGAAGAGTTTGGTGGGGGTACGCATTGCACCAGAGTTTGGTGGGGATATGCACTGCACCGTGCTTAGCTGCGCCTAATTCTACATTCTCATGAGTATGAGGGGTACTCAGAGTTATGAAAATTATAGAAGGGGTACACATATGTCAAAAGTTTGGGACACACTGCATTAGAGGGAAGCCTTCTCGGTGCAAGAGGGATTCAGGGGGTTTGGGAGTGAAGAGAGGAGGCTGGTCTGGGCAGAGAACACAGCACAAAGTTAAAGGACAGCTCAAGGCTTGCACACTCATTCATTTGTTCATTTTCTCTCATTCACCTAATAAAGACTCACGAATCCTGCTCTGTGCCAGGCACTGCCCAGCCATGGGGAGCAGGGCTGTGAAAAGGTCCAGTTTACAAAGCTGTGCAGAAGCCAGATAATGAACAAATATCATAAAAGCACCAGGTGGAGACAGAGTGTCACGGGCAGTGGAACAGGCAGGAGGAGGGTCAGTGAGGTCTGGACCCTAAAAGACAAGGGTCAGCTTGGAAATGGAACAGGGAGGATAGGAGGAGTGACAAGTGTTTTAAGCATGAAGTTCAGGGACACAGAGAGCCTGGCTTTTGCAAGATCCTTGAAGAAGTCTTGTGCGGTGGAGTGTCGGGAATCTACGGCAGGGGCGAAGTGGGGCGGAGGGAGGGGCGATGTGGGTGGGTGAAGCCAGGAAGAAACCACACAGAACCTTATGGTAAGGATTTTGGACTTCATCTACCGCAGTCTAAGTAAGAGATACTATTGCCTTGAATTAAGGCTCAGGTAGTGTGGAGTACAAACTTGGCCACTTGGTGAATTACTTAGAAGGGGAATGTTCTACTCACCTGAGATATTCCTCATGGTTGTTTCTAGTGCTGCCCTTGTGATGCGCTCTGTGCAGACCCCAGGTGCTTATGGAGGAGGCTAAGGCTCACCTGGGAACCCTCCGTGAGGCCCTCTTCTCCCCAGTTGTACCTTCTTCCCCCCATAGCCCTTTCACATGGTCCTTATCCTGCCCAAAGCCCCAGTTATCCCAAGGAGCCTGCTGCTCCCCTTCCCTCTGCCTAAACCCCCCACTTCAGCCCTCAATCTAACCCCTTCTATTGGCATCAAGAGCCAGGGCCCTCTCAGCCTGCTTTTCCTCTTCCTGGCTGGGCAGCCTATGAATCTTCAGTCCTGAGTTCATGGCTGGGACTGTAAATGCTGCTGTCCATCATTATAGTCATGGCATATGAGGCCCTCACTTCTACCTCTCCTCTGAACTCACCATTACCCCCATCACATCGGACCCTTTCCCAGGCCTGAAGCATTTTGCTCCTGCTGATCCCTTTGCCTGCAATGCCCTTCCTTCCCCAGGCCTATCTCAGGTCTGTTCCTCCTGGGAATCTTCCCAATGGTAGGTTCTTCCTTCTACCTCCCCAGCACTTGGGGGCATTGCTTTATTATAATACTTACTAGTGGCCCGGTGCATGAAATTTGTGCAGGGTGAGGGTGTCCCTCAGTCTAGCCTGCACCCTCTCCAATTTGGAACCCCTTGAGGGCAGACAGACATCCCTCTCACAATCCAGGACTGCTAGCTCCCAACTGCTCGCCTGCCTGCCTTCCTGATTACCCTTAACTGCTTCTGTCTGCCAGCCTGATCACCCCTAACTACTTCCCTGCCAGCCTGATTGATGTCTAACTGCTCCCCTGCCAGCCTGTTTGCCCCCAACCTCCCTCCTCTGCCGGCCTGGTCACCCCTAACTATCCTCCCCTGCAGGCTTGATTGCCCTCAACTGCCCTCGCTTGCAGGCCTGGTGCCTAACAACTGCCCTCCCCTGCTGGCCATCTTGTGGTGGCCATCTTGTGTCCACATGGGTGCAGGATCTTTGACCACATAGGGACAGCCATCTTGTGTGTTGGAGTGATGTTCAATTTGTATATTACTCTTTTATTAGATAGGATAGAGGCCTGGTGCATGGATGGGGGCCAGCTGGTTTTCCCTGAAGGGTGTCTCGGATCAGGGTTGGGGCTCCCTTTGGGTGTGGGGTGGCCTGGGCAAAGGGCAAGTGGTGGTTTTCAAGCCAGTCACACCCCCAGGTGACCCAAGCAGAGGCCCTGGTATCTGGGGTTTATTTATCTTCTATAATTGAAACTTTGTAGCCTGAAGTGGAGCCAGGCCTTTTGCTCACTCTGTGGTGGCAGCTATTTCTGTTGGGATTTATTTATCTTCTATAATTGAAACTTTGTAGCCTTAAGCGGAGGCCTGAGCCGGCCAGGGTGTGTGGAAAGTTTGGCTTCCTCCATCTTTGGGGAAACTCAAACCTCCCTCCTGCTCTCTCCCTGGCTGCAGGATTGGGTTAATTTGCATACTCGCTCCTGATGGGTTTGTGGGTGTGGCTTATGGATGTGCCCTACTCAGAGCTAGTTGGGTGAATGAATGAAACAGCCTCTGTGCTTTTCTGCTCAAAGGCAAAGACTGTGTCTAACTAATCTTCATTTCCTCAGTGCCTGGCACCCAGCAGGAGCTCCCTCAATTCTTGCCCTTGATTGAGGCACAGATAAGGCAGGTGTAGTCAGGGACATGAAGCAAGGAAAGGCATGAAGGGCCAAGGAGATGAGGAATTTGGACAGTGAGACCAGGGACCAAGAGATGATGGCAGACCTCTGTGGGAAGGTCTCAGGGCTGGAGTGCTGAGGTGTTAGCGGGGCGAGTGGTTCACATTCTCTTCTCTGGGCTGGGCTGGATCCTTGTCTGGT